ACCAAACCAAACTCATTCCTGTGAGTTCCCAAGACTATAATTCTTTACGGAAGTAAAAAGCTCTGCCTTCCTCCCTTGGAATGGCTGGTGGTTTCAAACTGCAAACTTTGTGGTTAGCAGGCCAATGTGTAACCACTATGCCACCAGGGCTCCCAGGCCCCAACTACTCTGTCTAGAAGATACCCATTCTCTCATCACTCGCTAGCTAGTGCCTCCCCTACAAGTTGTTTATCCCTGGAAGCACACACTCGTCTGGATAACAGCTCATTGCAAGCTCTCCCCCACTAGAAGGCACCCTCTAGGGAGGCAGGGGCTCTGCCTCATTCACCACTGAATGTCCCGGGCACAGACCAGTGCCTGACGTGCAGTCAGTGTTCCTCAAAAGGATTGTTGAGTGAATACATGTGTGATTGGACATGCCCTCTCCCCTCTACTGCCTCAGCTCAGATCCTACTCTGCTACGTAGGAGCCGAGTGACCTTGGACAAGGAGCTTCACATTTCAAGAGAAACTATGAGCTAAGCATGCTTCTGACAAAGACTGGATGACTCCTTCATCCCTCCCTAAGGACAGCACCACCCTCTCTCTGACATCTGGGTGACACTGCCAGTTCTAGAAGTTTGCCATTTTATCAGAGAAGAGACATTTGGGGCAACTAACAAAACAAAAAGATAATTATACTTCATAAAGAGAGGGGGAAACAAAGTCCTAAAAGCAACCAATTGTCTGTTTATTGCCCGAATAGACAATTAGTTCATTTAATGCTTTCCAGCATCTGTTTGAGGCAGATAGAAACAGATTCTTATGAAGGGAGGATTTGCAAAAAGCTGCGTTGTCTGGTAATTTAACGAACCGGAGAGCTTCTAAAAGTGGACTTTCTGAAGTTCCACCAACACAAAGCTCCAAGCTGACAAAAGGATTGTGGGAGAAGCTAATCATAATCCAAACGAAGACCAGCATTCCACATAAAAGTTGCTGGAGATAAGATGATCCCTGCTCTGGCACCCCCATTTGTCTCACTTCACGTACACAGTCACTGCCTACCTATATGTTTTCTGGCTGCTGGAGGTGGCTTCTTTTCTGTAAGACATTTTATATTCTATTAAAAAATGAATGAATAGAGGGGGTTCATTTCCTTAACTCGGGACTTCCTCTGCGTTCTGTGGTGGTGTCAGAGTGAACGGCGAGTCCCGTGTAAGCCTCCTGCTCGCATCCGGAGGGTCATTGGTTCCTGGACCTTCTGAACTTTCCCCTCATTCTTTAAAGCCTGGAATCCTCCAAAGGGACTCTTGGCTTCAGGCTGTGGTCGGGCTCCGAGGGCAAAATACCAGGGAGACAGGAGCGTGGTCTTCTGGGAACATGTAAAGCAGCCTTGGAGTTGGCGAGCTCTAATCAATCCACACACCCCCTCACCCTCACAAGGTGGAAGCTACTGGTTTCACTGTGTGGCCCAGCGCCAGGGAAGGACGCATTCTGCAAAGGGCCTCACTTCCAAAGGAGGAGGCAAAAGCAGTTTGGGTTCCAAGCCTGGCCTCAGTATAAGAAGTTATAGAATAAACCTCCCCCCACCCCCACTCCCCTCCCCAGAAAAGTACAGATGAGAAGTAAGAGTGAAGGGGACATAGGGGAGAGTTGTCAGAATCGTGCTGCATAAAAGTAGCCCATAGGATTGTGCTGCCACTGTAACCTGGAACGCACGCCTCCAGCTCTCCACCACGCCAAACTCACAGCCATCCGTTGATTCTGACTCATCTAGGACCCTGCAGGCCCGGGGAGAGTAGTCCCCCTGTGTTCCCAAGGCTAACTCTTTATGGTCTTTCTCCCTGAGCGCTGCCAGTGGTTTCAAACTGCTGGCCTTGTGGCTAGCAGCCCAACTCATAAGCACTAGACCACCAGGGCTCCTCCCCTATCTCTAGAACTATATTTTTATTAATCTATATTCGATCAGAGGAGCCTCAAGGTCACTGGAGAAAGACGAGGCTTTCTAGTTGTATAGACAGTTACAATCTCGGAAACCCACAGGGGCTGTTCTTCGCTGCCCTATAGCGTTGCTGTGAGTTGGAATTGACTCAATGGTTGTGAACTTGAGTTTGATTTTTTTATAATTGATCATAAAATTTAAACATTCCTGCTACTTACAATCAGCAGTCTGATACTTATAATCACATTATTTAGCATTCACAAGGTTTATCTAAATGAGTGATAAACAGTAGCTTTTCTTACCCCGTGCTAACAGTTGGTCACAATGCTTACACTAAAAAGATAAAAATAAAAAGGATATCCTTTTCACGGCTAAGGCAGTCTTCCAAAGGATATTAAAAATTAAAAACAAAAACATTTTTAGGTAAGGGGGTGGGGAGGCTACAAGTGATTTAGCAAGATTTCTATGCATTATTGAAAATCATGGGCCAAAGTATGAAACTGTATCTCTGGCTAACTGATAAAATTCCAAAACACACTCTCTGTTTTGCATGTATCGTGTTACTGCTGGCAATCATTTTTATGGAGTGGTCAATTTAGACTCCATTCCTAAACAACCTTTGAGAACATAACCTTATTGGTAAAGAACATACTCTTCCATTAAAGGGTCATGTTTCTTTAGATTCTGTAGTTATCATGAAGGGAAAGGAAACAATATAGAGGAGGTGTCACTTCGAAGAGACACTGGTTTGCGTTTCTACTATGCTTGGCTCACCTTTTCGTTCCACGCCCACAGTCCAATGCCGAGAAAGGCTACTCCCAAAAACTGAAAGGAAAAAGAAAAGAGGCAGCAGTGTCAGAGTAAGGGTAGACACAACAGTTTCACTAATAACATACGCATGTTCCCAGTCTAGTCTTCTCTTAGTTCTCCGGCTGGAAACGAGCTTTGGCTAAATTCTGAATAACAGACTTTACCAGGAAAAGAAATACCACAATCCCCTTGGCCTAAAATTATTAAGGTATTAAGAAAGGTTGGAGACACGTAGGTGCTGAGAAGTCGTTCGGATTATGAAGAGTAATCATTTGCTGGAACCCTGAGTAAAATAGAAGTCGTCAATAACGTTCCATGCTGCACTCTGTGTGGGGAAAGACAACCGGGAGTATCTCACGAGTCTGAGATTGTCACTCACTAGAAAACGGACTCCCAGAGGCAGGGGTCTAGAACAGCGACCCCTTTGGGGGTCGAATGACCCTTTTACAGGGTCGCCTGATTCATGACAGTAGCAAAATGACAGTGATGAAGTAGCAACGAAAATCATGTTATAGTTGAGGGTCACCACCACATGAGGAACTGTATTAAAGGGTCGCAGCATGAGGAAGGTTGAGAACCACCGGCCTAGACGGAGGCAGAGTCTCCAAGCACGAGGACCCTCTTCCCCACTCACGCCATCAGAAGTCCTCACAGCCCCTCCCCAGGCTCCCCATCCTGTCTTCTAACGGAACACAAATCTTTATCAAGTCCAAGGCAGCCGCCACAGAACCCCTGGATTCTTCTCCTGTTGGGAAGCTACCTGGCTGAAGCTGCCATGCAGAGGGCTTCCACAACTCTTCCTGACCTGGGCCCGTCCTAGAACCTTCTTGTGTAGCATCAGGACTGAGTAAAGGCGGGACGCAGGGAACCATTCTGCCTCCATGCAGGGACTCATGAGCACGGGGCCCGGGATCTCCCAGTTCCGTCAATTGGCTTCTCTGAGAATTTGGGTGGGGTAGGGCCACTTTATTTTCATTTGTTTCCCCTCTCGTTGAAATTGGACTGTATCTCGAAATGCATGGTATATGGCCGTTTAACTGGTGGCTCCCCCTACCCCCGGCTCCCCTTGACTGTACATTAAGAGTGTCACGGGTTGATGACCCACGGTACAAGTCTGTCCACCCACGAAGAACTCACTGATCAAGACTGGGTGTAATTGGCCATGAGGAAAGATACATCTTACTCCTTCTTATTATTATTATTATCAGTAGCAGTGATGTATTTCCTCTCCAACTACAGAAGTGAAAGGAGAGGGAGCAGGTTGCAAGCAGTTTCAGTCCGATGGCAGCATACTTGTGGTGTATAAGCTGAGTTTTTTCGGCA